TATTAAGACTTCGAGACATTACTTTAGAAACAAAGTCGAATCGTCTGCGGCTGCGGCTGCTGCCGCTGCTTCTTTTCCTCTTCTTCTTCTTCTTCTTCTTCTTCTTCTTCTTCTTCTTCTTCTTCTTCTTCTTCTTCCTCTTCTTCTTCTTCTTAATATTCTTCTTCCTTTTCTTCTTGCTCGTCTTCATCGTGTTCTTCCTCGTCTTTTTCCTCTTCTTCTTCCTTTTCTACTTCCTCTTCTTCTTTTTCTTCCTCTTCCTCTTATTCTTTTTGTTCCTCTTTCTCTTCTTCTTCTTCCCATTCTTCCTCTTCTTCTTCTTTCTCTTCTTCTTCTTCCTCTTCTTCTTTCTATTCTTCCTCTTTCTATTCTTCCTCTTCCTATTCTTCCTCTTCTTCTTCCTCTTCTTCTTCTTCTTCTTCTTCTTCTTCTTCTTCTTCTTCTTCTTCTTCTTCTTCTTCTTCTTCTTCTTCTTCTTCTTCTTCTTCTTCTTCTTCTTCTTCTTCTTCTTCTTCTTCCTCTTGCTCTTCTTCTTCTTCTTCTTCTTCTTTTTCTTCTCCTCCTCCTCCTTCTTCTCATTCTTCCTCTTCGTCTTCCTCTTCTTCCTCTTCTTCCTCTACCTCCTGTTCCTCATTTTCCTCTTCCTCTTCCTATTCTTTTTTTTAACTATTCTTCTTCTTCCTCTTTTTCCTCTTCCTCATCTTCTTCCTCCTCTTTCTCTTCTTTTTCATTTTAATTTTAATCTTCTTCTTCTTCTTCTTCTTCTTCTTCTTCTTCTTCTTCTTCTTCTTCTTCTTCTTCTTCTTCTTCTTCTTCTTCTTCTTCTTCTTCTTCTTCTTCTTCTTCTTCTTCTTCTTCTTCTTCTTCTTCTTCTTCTTCTTCTTCTTCTTCTTCTTCTTCTTCTTCTTCTTCTTCTTCTTCTTCTTCTTCTTCTTCTTCTTCTTCTTCTTCTTCTTCTTCTTCTTCTTCATCTTGCTCTTCTTCTTCTTCTTTCTCTTCTTTCTCTTCCTCTTCGTATTCTTTTTTTTTTTTTTTCTTTTTTTTCCTCTTTTTCCTCTTTTTCCTCTTCCTCTTCTTCTTCCTCCTATTCTTCTTCCTCTTCTTCTTCTTTCACCTCTTCTTCTTCCTCCTTTTCTTCTTCCCCCGCTTCTTCTTCTTCCTCCTCTGATTCTTCTTTTTTTTCTTCTTGTTTTTCTTTTTCTTCTTCTTATTATTATTTAAAATATTATTATTATTATTATTATTTTTATTGTTATTATTATTATTATTATTATTATTATTATTATTATTATTATTATTATTATTATTATTATTATTATTAGCGTTCACAGAGTCTTGTAACAGAATATGAGTTTTGGGTGCAAATCCTTCTAACAGATCTGACTTATTTGTATGCAGACATCTGGTTTCTCTCCTCTCGGGCAGATATCTTTTAACTTTGATGGAGACTGCCCTCTCTAGGGAGGCAATGGGTCTTTTTATAGAATGAGGCAGGGAGCTCACAAGGAAATGACCTTGTTATTGTTTAAACACAGTCCTTTGTTCTGCATTTAGCTTTTGATCATTGTGATAGTAAACAAATATCACACACACACACATCACACAATGACACTAGCCCCTACATTTAACGTTTAATCATTGTGGTAATAGAGAAAAGTCACACACCCACTGACTCCCACACACACGCACACACAATGCTACTGCCGCCTGTATTTATTACTGGTGTGGTATGGGTGTGTGTGGAAAATAAAAAGGGAGCATGGCTAGTGCTGTTGTCACTGACTGTGCAGATTAGAATTTGATTAACTCCCCCCCCCCCCCCCCCCCCGCCCCCCCCCCTCTTTTCGAGAAAAAAATATAACCTTTCCGAGGATTCAACATGGATCTCCCACGCAAGAGCCTAAGGTTGTTAACCGTTCCACCAGCGTCCCCTCGATACACAGCCAGCACTTACAAGTATTCACGGACAAGCTGAACTTATTCCTGCTAATCTTTTTTCTTATATTCCAATTTCTAGTGAAGATGATGGTATGACAAAAGTGTATAAAAGATGGATTAAAAAATCCAAAGAAGAATACAAACTTAACAACGCAAAGCACAGCAATAACGGACACTACAGCGACAACGTGTTGTCACCTTCTTCAAGTTTGGGAGCTGACGAGCAGAGACAACAGAGAGACCAAAGTAGAAACTCTAGTAACGTGTTGATGTACGTCGTCCAGGACTGGACACCGTGCAACGCAACCTGCCAGTCTGTAGGCTACCAAGAACGGAACGTTACCTGCTCACACGTGACACCAAAGTTTGTGAAGATTGTGGCAAACTCCGAGTGCCAGAACGCAGGTTTGAAGAACCCTGACGTTATAAGAGAATGCAAAACCACAGAGACTAGCTGTGCTGTGTGGCGGACCGGACCTTGGTCCCAGGTAAGTTTCAGTGTTTGCTCTGGTCTTTTCTAATTGTTTTATTAGCAACTTGTCGGTTCTGTGGCTAAGTCGATGCAAACGCTAGTTGCTATATATATATATATATATATATATATATATATATATATATATATATATATATATATATATATATATATATATATATATATATATATATATATATATATATATAAATATATATACATAAATTTCCTAAATCCATGCCGTGTGGCGTTGGTAGTTATATCTACCCGCAACCTTCTGTCTTGTGTACTTGCAATCAACTCTGAAACAGATTATCTTCCATGCCATGAAGTCAAACCGTCCAGCATCTCTTCTCTCGGTCTCCCTCTGTCTATCCTTCCCTCCATCTTTCCTACCGTCACGATGTACTCCAATTTTCTCCTTCTCATCACATGACCAAGGAATGTAGATTGTCTCTTTCTGATGTGGGCAATCAGTTCTCTTCGTAAATAAGTTTCTTTCACGACGTCTTCTTTGCTCTTTTTTAATGGTCCAGGGTATTCTCATCATTCGTCTATAAAACCACATCTCTGCAGCTTCCAAATAAGTTTTACTTCACTAATTTATTTACTGTCTATGATTTGTCTATCAATATTAGGGCTGTACTGAATATTCGCTTCGTATTCGCTTCGGGGCCGAATAGTGGACCTAATAGCTATTCGGTATTCGGCCTAATAGTGGCGGTCGGGCCGAATACGAATAGCGATTTCTGCATACACTGCAATGGATTAAAATAACTCTCTCATTAACACAATAGTTTCCGTTGCCTAAGTTTGTCCACCGCCTTCTCCAGATAGAGTCGGCCGTGGTCTTTGCCTGCTGACTCGTTTTAGGCATTACAGCAGAGGTTCTCAAACTGGGTGGGTAAGAGAAGGGTGCCGCGGCGAAAATCAAGAAAAGTCAGCTATATATTGTGACATTATTATAGAAGGCATGAAGATACTTAAAAGTTGAAATTTAAATTGTCTTTCCTGGCTATTGTAAAAAAAAAAAAGGTTTTTTTTTTCTTTCTTGTTTCACACTCAAAGTGTATCGTACTGCATAAAATGCCAACCGCAGCGTGCTAACAAATGTCTTTGTGTTTATCTCGACATGCGACCGATTCTCCATCTGTATTCATGAAGGTGCAGCAGATAAGTTAGCACATTTATTTAAGGGCAATGCGATTTTTTGTTGTTGCTTGTGTGAGTGTGTGTCCGTGTGTGTGTGTGTGTGTGTGTGTGTGTGAGAGAGAGAGAGAGAGAGAGAGAGAGAGAGAGAGGAGAGAGAGAGAGAGAGAGAGAGACATCATGTATTTTTTCGTTCTTTCAGGGTGTCTTTGCCCAAATCAAATTTGAAGATATTCCTAACAAGAATTTGAAGGTGCGTTTAAATTACGTCGAACGAACGGCTGAACGAACGATGATTTATATGAGAATTTAGCACATAGATAACATCCGATGGAAGATGCATTACTGAAATAAGAAACAGAATAATACAGGCAAAAACTGCATTTTATAAAATGAAGAACATCTTATACAATGTATCTTTGTCAGAAATGTGGTTTTACAGAACAATGCTTAAAATACCTTGGACAGCCTCCCAAAAAAATGCAACCAATAGGTTTTGAAAGAGGCGGGAGCCCGAAGACAACTAACAGACAACAGACATCAGAAGGAGACAGTCATCAGTTTTCGGCCATGTTATAAGAAGAGGGAAAATGGAACATATGGTGACAACTGGAAAGATCTGTGGGTGGAGAGATAAAGAAAGACAACGAGAGAAGATTCTTGACAGTCTTGTTGCATAGCATGGAGGTGTTTCAGCACACAAATTGATACATGCTGCAGGAGATCGCAGATTGTGGCGAGGCAAAATCGCCAACGCCAGTCGGCAAGGCACCTGATGATGATGATACACTATTCGTATTCGTATTCGTATTCGGCCGAATAGTTGGTCCCACTATTCATATTCGGCCGAATAGTGAAAATCACTATTCGGTACAGCCCTAATCAATATAGGATTTATATGGCTTTAAAGAATTCCTTTTTTTTTTCGTCTCAATTTACAAAGAAAGATTGTATAAAATATTCTTCAGTTTTTGTAAAATGCTGTCTTTGTTTGAGTTATTCGACATTTAACTTACTTAATACGTCTTCCATCTGATGTTATCAGGGTACTTAGTACTTAAACGTATCAACTTGCTTGAGGTCTGTCCCATTTACTTCAATATTATATTTTGGAGGGCCAGTTTTCTTTATAATTACCATTACTTCTGCTTTTCTTCTTTTCAAACTAAGACCCTTGTTGTCCCTTTCCGTTACAATTATATCCATTATTTCTTGTAACTGTTTTTCATTTTCATCGATCGAAACACTATATCATCAGCATATTGCGGGATATATATTTATATATATATATACATAATGCTAGTCCACCCCCAGGGGAATGCAGTTTTTTGTTATTTTGAAGCCCAACCCTGGCTCTTACCAGGGGCCGCAATATAGCCCCGCCATAAATATGGCTAATCGTGGCTTCCTGGACCTCTCCATGGGTGTTTCTTATCCACACGTTGGCACTTTGGGTCATCGGGTGTTTATCACCAGTGTGATGTCTTAGTGGGGTGAAATATACTACTGCTACTTTATGTGTACATAACACTGCCATCCCCCTTGTGGGGTGTAATTTTTCATTACTTTTAACCCCCATCCTTGCTGTTGCCAGGGGCTGCATTGTAACCTAACGGTTAAACGTGGTTTCTGGGACATCTCCACCGTTGATCCTCATCCGCATGGTGTCAATTTGTCTTACTGGATGTTTATCGCTCTGTGTGATGTCCTAATGGAGTAAAATGTACTTACTTACTGTACACGGCAATGTGAACACAAAAAGTGTAGCGTACATTGAAAGTTACAAAAGAAACGAATCAAAAACTGAGTAAGGTTTATGTTAAATAAGAGTGTTAATCTCATATAGTTTCGTATACAAAAGCTGGCCTCGAATGGATTTTTAATGGTGACCAAACAAACGTGACAGTCATTGCGCTTCGATATCTGTGGCTCTTATTAAGGACAAAAAACACCCAACGCCCCAAAAACAGACACTAAAAAATAAAAAAATAAACAATTCTCTTCTTCAAGGTAAAAAAGTATAGAAATTTATTGTCAGAAACACGACGCTTGAATTTCAGCCACAGTTGTTAGATCTTTTCATCTTGCAACTGTCTAGCGTTCTCACTAACATATGTTTCTTGTCTGCAACTTAAAACATTATACCAAGATTACTTTCTTAAAACAGCAGATGCGGTAAGGGCTTCTATGCCTTACGTTGCATAACAAGTTATATATGTAAGGCATGCAAGCAGACAGGTGTTGTCTGCAAGGCACGTAATGAAGGCGAGTTTAAAGGAATGCTAAATGTCCAAAACCGTTTACATTAAACACATGAGAGGGAGGCTCCGAGTTGAGTTATGTTTTTTATTAATTTATTTATTAATGTCTAGGGCGTATATTGTTTTCTAAACCCGTCTCACAGGGATGTCTTGATACAAAGTTTGGGGAAAAAAATATTAATTATAAGGTAAAGAAATATTTCTTCTGATGTACATACTGGATAATGTCGGCTACAGGTGCATCCATTCATCTTTCTCTGAAGTCTTGCAGAAATGAAAAGTCATCTTGACCAGCACCGACGATTTCTGTTTACTTTTTTATCCAGTTGACAGGGGGACAGGGTGGGGAGGAGTGGTGGGGGGGGGGGTGCGCGATACAACAGCACGACGTGTCTTTGTATGCTTTTATTACAGTGCAGCTGGCACTAAATTCAGTTTGGGAAAACATCAACGACAACATTTGTATTAGCATGGGCTTCTACTGCAGTTAGTAAAGTACCCCCCAATTATAATAATAACAACAAGTGAGTTCAACTAAGCCTAAAATATATACCATCACATATGTTGGTAAGCACGGTCGCGATGATATTGATCACCTTACCCATCGAGTGTCGATTAGTCTATATAATATGTGTCCAGCACTATATGCTCTGTGATACAGCGGTTTGAAAGAGGATCTTTACTTAGCTTATTTATAGAAGGTTTAGTTCCATCCCTATGGTTGGTTCTGGCTATATAAAATGAGGGCTTGGTGTGTGTTTGACAACCCTGTGTTGAAGAGAATATCTGCAAAAAACATTGCGTAATGCCATGTTTATGATTTCTGTCATTGCAGACAATATGAGCTGGGTAATTACTTTCGTTTCTCTGCATTAGTGTTTCCTCCCTTTGAAGTAGCTGTTTAATTGTTTAGATTGTTTCAAACATGTTTTAAACAAAACTAGTTAGAGGTAATTGGGAATTTAATATGTGTTGCTCTGTCACATGTATATGATTCTATTAGCATGTTTATTTATTTGTTGTAATGTGGCTTAATCTAAAGGGTTTCTGTGCTTTACATAGATCAGATGATAAGCACATGAAAAAACCAACCACAGACAAATGGGGGGAAAAACATCATGAGAAAAATGGGCACTAGAAAACGTAAACGACACGAACAATGCAGAGATTAATATCATGAATGGGTCAAGTAGAAAGCAAATGATGTCACTGGTGGCACAGGATTTTTTTTTTAAAGTGAATATTGCAGTATGTGTACATAGTTTTATTCTAATACACGCAACCAAGCGTGTCCATCAACGTGTTTTCTTTTTTTCTGAATTCAACTGCCAACTATACTTCACCAGAAACTTAAACAATAAAGAGCATCCAATGACAAAAAAAAAAAAAAAAGAGATAAAAACATGAGATTGGAAAAGGAAAGCATACACAAGAGATGAGAGCTGGCTTAAATAATGTACCCAGTGAACCCCGACTTCCGTATTTACGGGACAACAAAACAAGATGAGGTAACTGCTGGTGATTAAGTTGTCTCTCAGTCAACAATCAGTCAGCGAAGGTGCGGCCCTGATGAACGCAACATTCTGATAATGTAAGGCACAAGTAAATATGTGTTTTTTTTTCTGTAGAAACGCCCATGAAAAGATACAGCTTCCTGATGTATGGCACGTTTTTATTCTGCATTAATTATTACCTCCCTTGCTGACATTAACCGGAAACAGCAGAAAATGCTTCCCATACGGGCAGGTAACTGACACGCACCCTCTCCTGACCTCACGCGTATATCAAACAAATTTGTTCTTGAACGATACTTTCTGAATTCAGTAACGTGAATTCACTTGTGAGGTATACCCATGTGGGGTTCTAGGGTACAGTTCTGTGTGGGATGTAGGCGGAAGGAAAAACAGATCCACTGTCCCACAGAGAAGCATGTTGTAAAAAAAAAAAAAGACTAATTAGGGTTTGCTAAATTCGGATTATGGCGCAACAATCGGAGTCTACGACATGCTAGCCGCTCTTTTAAGGGCTAGTGACGAAGGAAAGGAAACAAACAAACAAGCGGACTTTCAGTCAGGTTCCAAAAGTAGTTTTAGCATGTCGACTCTTCGTTGCCTACTGAAGAAGGAGATTGGAACATCTGTGGGAATATCCCAAGTGCATGGATGTCAATTCTTGATTCATTCATTCATGGATTCATTTTGAGATTTTTTTTTTAATCCAGTCTGGACGGCAAACCAACAATTCAGATTCCGCATACCCCTTTCAGCCTCTAAAGAAGTGACAATTAGAGCACCCGTAACGGCTACACTAGCCAGGTGTAACCTGCATCCTATGCAGGTAAGGGCGTAGTTGGATTGCGGGAGAATGATCCTTTACTTCCCGTTCTCCCTAAAATATTTATTTACTTACTGATTGCGGGAGTGGGGGGGGGGGGGGGGGGGTTCCTCAGTAGCGAAGTGGTCAAGCCGTTAGTCTCGCGCTCTGAATGTCGTGGGTTGGCTCCCGGGCACGCCCTTCAGTTTACCAGTGCAATATTTACGAAGGTCCCTGAGGATAGTCGCCGGAGTGACGGAGTTCGTTCAGGGCGCTCGCGGCAGGCGGCTTGTCGTTCTGCCGAGAGAGACAGAGCCATACGGGTTAAAACCCGATGCAATAAAATCGATCGTTTTGACATCAACCTTTAACTGTAGCATCTAGAAAGCTCACCAAACTGTCAATGTTTCCAGTGTCGTCCAAGTTGCGGACAGGTGGGCTACAAGAGCCGAATACTGAGCTGTGTGTGGCAATCCTCAGGAGAACCGGCGGGGCCACGCTGTGATCTGGCCAGCCAGCCAGAAGCAATCAAGCCATGCCAAACAAGACCTTGTCCTTTGGGTTTGTATTTTCTTTTGTGTTTATGTTTATGAAAATGCATGTAATATAAAAGTAAAGTCGGGAGATGTGAACCAGCGTCACTGCACACGGTTATAAACCATAAGTGCACTGCCACCAGTACGGACAGCTGATAAGAAACTGTCCGCCTTCGTCGCCGTCCGCACGCAACTACGTAGCTACAGCGACGTTCCTCAATTTACCCTAGAGTGTTAACTCTGGTACCCATTACACAGAGGCTGGGGGAACGCCGGTAACAGTCCAGTGGGCCGTAAGCTGCAGCGAGTGGCAGCCGGATTTGAAAGCAAGTCTTCTATCGACTGCGCTAACGCAGCACCCTCATGTAACATTTGACTATATAAATGCGTGATCCTCACCGCACGGCCTACCAAGTGACGATTAGTCTATAAAATTTAGGTCTAGGCCTGTATGCCAAATACGAAGGCATTGAAAAGGGTCTTTTACATTGCTTACTTATTTGACTACATTATGGCGCCGAAGCTTGGGCTGAGACTCGCCCTCCCATCCTGTCAAAAAACTATATCCGGTGCACCTCCACTCCCCCCCCCCCCCACCCACCCACCTAAACACGCACAAACGTACACATAATTGCATACACACAGCATTTATAGACGTTATCTTTTCAAAAATGTGTTTATATATTTCATGTTATACAGTAATGTATTTTTATTCATATGAATTTAGGAAACAAATACTTAAAAAGGGAACGTCTATACATGGTTGGGAAAGTTGGGAAGGGGCACTTAGCTGACTTGCAAATTGTATTGCAGGTGGAGTGCCTCAGTCTTCCCTACATATATGTGTGGGGGGGGGGGGGGGGGGAGGTGCTCAAGGTGTTGGTGCCTCCAAGTTCCGGCTCCCTTGGTATCATAAAGATACACTGTTATCTCTGTTTTATCTGAAGTAATTTTAAGTTTCTTTAATTTACTGGATAGGTGTTTTAAATTCACTATCTTATACAACGACCTTACGACAAGATTCGGAATCGCTACCCGACCACTTAAATTACTTTTCGTAACTTTTTTCAGAGAGACAATAACAGAGACGTAGACATAAAGAAAATCATTGAGATGGCTCATATTTTTTTTATACATATTTTCGTGGGGGGGTGGGGGGGGGGGGGAAGGGGGCGTACTTTTCAAGTTGTCCAAGCCACCAGGTTTTCCGCGCCCTATTTCTAAACATAGCTAGGCAGGTGGCATATTTTTTTTACACATGGGAGGAAAGAGGGAAAGGGGGGGGGCGTGGCACGATACCACATACAATTAAGGTGAAGTGTGCTCAAAATGACCTTAACACCCTAGGTTCCAGTGCCCTTGATTGCAATTAATCTTTTTATAGACCTTTTTTTCTTAATCCTAATCAAATTGTTATACAGTAAAATTTCGGAACCTCAAACGTGTAAACCGTATTTTTGCTTCTTAGCATTCACTAGCTGTAAACTCCTACAGACATTTCAGTTTGCTCGTTAACTTCTGGACTTTTGTCTTAACCCAGAACTTCAGTTTTGCTGACTGAATTTTCACACCACTAGGACATCACACTGAGCGATAAACACCCGGTGACACAAAGTGCCACTATTCGGTTGAGAATCGCCCATGGAGAGGTCCTAGAAACCCAGTTCAACCGTTAGGTTCTATTAGGCCACCTGGCAACAGCCAGGGTGAGGGCTTTAAAATAATGAAAAATCGCCCCTACAAATGCACATGCATTTAACAGATATGGCTTATTTACAGGCAAACTTGCGGTTCCCTCCTCTCAGGCAGATGCACTCAGATTCTGAAAGATACACCCAAATTAGTCGCATCCTAAAATATGCTTGTTGGAGATTGTGAGTCTATTTTTTGTTCTACGAATTGAAGCCCCAGAACCCACACGGGAGGTAAACCGTACAATTAAAAGGATATATTGACTTTTTCAAAAAAATTATGATAACTTCCCTTTAATTTCATTCATGGTCAATAATTCTTCTTCTTTTTCAGCTTTTCTATCCCCCAATGGAGCACAGGCCCTCAACCAACCCACGTCAAGTCGTTTTATCCTTCGTCATTGCATAGAGCTCTCCCCATGTCCTTCCTATGTCCTCCCCATGTTTCTAACTTCATTCTCCAGCTCTCTTCTTCATGTATGTTTTTAAACCTTCCTTTATTCCTATGCCCCTGTGGGTTCCAATGCAAAAACATTCTGGTTAAGCTGTTCTCCTGTTTTCTCAGTGTGTGTCCAGTCCAGCGCCAGCGTCTTTTCCTCACCTCTTGTTCCACCGGAGCCTGTTTAGTTCTCTCAAAAAGTTCTACATTAGTTATTCTATCGTACCATTTAATTCAGCGGCGTCCGTGGCTAAGGCGTTGCGAGTCCGACTCGTAAGCCAGCATACAGCGACCGAAACCCACTGCTGGCTGCGTGGATTTTTGTCGTGGTATGGGACGTCGCAGGTCGACCCAGCCTAAAATGGGTACCAGGTTGGGCTGTCCTGGGAAAGTAAAGACAGCCAGCGTAATGCTGACCACATTACCCACAGTGCTGATGGTCTGCAAAAATATGGGACGCTCTGCCCTCATGCCCGATGCGCCGAAAGGTGTGAAAAGGGATCTTTACTTTTTTTAACCATTTAATTCCCTCTATTCTGCGCAAGCGAGAGTTAATGAATGTCTGTAATTGCCTTAGTTGTTCTCCATGTTTCCGACCCATACAAAAGTACTGATTTGACATATCTCTGTAATTATCAGTTTTATTTCTTCCCCAGAATGCACAGATTCGTCCAGATACTGCAGTCTGACCAAAATGCTCAAGTTGTGTAGATATCATAATTTTAAGGCGCAATGCTGTCAGACTTGTAATGCACATCCCAAGGTGCCAGTTTACAATTTTTCTCCAGTTATTGTCTGATTTTTAGCAGAAGGCGAAATTGTAACGGAAGGCATGGTACCAGGAAGGAGGGGCAGAGGTAGACCGACACGAAGATGGGCACAGGATATAAGTGACTCCTTGAGTGTGAAAGTGCATGAGGCGGGAGAACTGGCGAGAGACTGAGTTTCTTTCAGGCAGACTGTGATGAGAGCGACGTTCTGCAAACGACCTGCTACATGATAATAATATTGTCTGATACAGAATTGTGCTGGTTACGAACTCTCTGTCACTGTGTCGTGTTTATAATTAATTATTCATGCATTGCACATTCTAGCCTAGTCAGTAATGCCCCTATGAAAAGTAAAATGTCATAAGAATTACTTTTCTGTCTGTGTGGAATTTCTTTACTAACACGACAATGGGATAGTCTAATAAAATATACATATTTATTACTTTAAATGGGACTGCGTGGTCTCGAGGCATGGCGTCTGCCTTGAGTTCTGGAGGTTCCGGGTTCAATCCCTGGTGAAGGCTGGGATTTTTCACATGGATTTCTAGTAATTTGCTCTTGTCTCTGGGTAGTAAGATTAGAGGCCCATGTGTATTGTTCCGCACGTCATAAATCCCTTGGCAGTTAGAATTCGAAAGGAGTAGCATAAATTTGGAGTTAAAAATCGACCCAAAGTATTTCAGGATCTTCACCGGTGCTACGGAGTTTGCGCAATGCGCTGAGATTCTTCGGACTTAGGCTTGGGTCAGAAGTAGAACGGAGCACGTATGGTTACTACCCTTGAACCACGAAGTTCACCAATTTAAACCTAAACTACTTTAAAGGACTCATTACATTTTAATTAAGGGGGGGGGGGGGGGGGGGTGTCCCGTGGCGAATTAGTCAAGCCGTTTGCCTCGCACTCTAGCACCTTTGTGTAAGTTTTATAAACTGCGTCGTTCGGTTGACGAAATTAACGGGGGTTTTTTTTTTTTTACCTAGTGATCGTTGCTTACGCTACAAAGTTCGTGCTTTGTACGGCGGGTTTGGCAGACGCAAGCCCTTCAGCGGAGACAGACTGGATCATACGGGATACTAACCAGTGCAATGAAGTGAATACTGTCGACTCTAATAAGCTTCTTAACTTCAAATAACTATCCACTAATTGTGTGCGTGTGCATGTTCGTGTGTGTGTGTATGTGTGTGTCCGTCCATCCGTCACTATCGCCTCAAGGTAAGGCTTACACCGCCATTGTAAAGTTCTTCGATTTTACAAATTTGACGCCTCGACATATGGTGTTGCGTGGTCATTTCTTTCTCTTTGTTTTTCTTTTTTATATAAAATCAGTGTTGGTTGGTGTTCATTTCGGCTGCTTTTATATAGACCCATCAGTCTTGTATTCAGCCGCTAAATGATGCTAAAGAAAACTAAAATGGGACAGAATTCAGAAAACGGGTCTTCTGGTGGAACTGTAGATTAGTTAGACTAAAACTAAAATATGGAATGTTGAATTAGGATTCGACAACATAGCACTTAAGACACTCACATAAGAGCTCTGTCCCCATCTTCAGCAGTAAACGAAGAGTTACAATTCCTATTGCACCAGTAACTGTCTGACTGTATCCATCTCTCCTTTCCTTTGAGTGTTCAGTATCGGCCAGATCCCCTAGTAACTCCTCGCAGCGTCTTCCTCCTCGGACCGTAATGATCTATAAGCGCTTCCGCACTGTTCACTCGCCCCCAGGGTGCACTCACAACTTCTAACTTGTCATACATCAGTTCACCACCAAGTGGTGCATAACTGGCTAGTTTATCTGCCTGCTCATTTCCCAACACACCGGCGTGACCTGGAGAAAATATCCAAAGGAGGCTAACTACCCGGGACCTCTAAAGTGATGCTTGCCACTCTGCACGGAGCATACCTGTCTTCACCTTTTTCAACATGCTATGTGAGTCGGTTACAATAACTAACATATGGACAAAACACAATAAAAAAATATCTTAAACTTTAAAGCAAGATGAGAAAATGAAGAATGTTTCTAACTTAAAAATAAAGTTACATCAGAGATTCTGACAAAGATGTAAAAGCACAAATGATCAAAGCAAACAATCAAAGCAAACAAAACATTTACTGTACTCAACAATAGATGGATGTCAAATGGACTTATTTTGAGAATGAAACTCACAAAATGACTGAACGAGTGAATGAATAAATGGATTGAAGAATGAATGAAAGAATGAATTAATGATTAAATAAATAACTGTCATTCTAATCGGGCTGGAAACATTCGCTTTGAGCTCTATCTTCTTCTTTAAAAAAAAAAAAAAAAACGTCCTCATGCTAACAGTGCAAGTTCAAATCTGATGTAAAGTCCCCTTGTTTTTCTTCAGTGTTTGCTATCGTCCAGAACATATGTTCCACTCCAGGGGAATCAATCATTAGAGGAGTGGAAACTCTGATTTGATACACTGTTCACTTGATTACAGAGTCACCAGTCAGCACAACGTCCGCTAATACTCAGTACATACAACAACAATATCATAAGAGTACTTCAATGTAACAGTGAGTGCTGATAAATGACAGCAGGTATGAATGCCTTGTGAATGTCTTACGTATCAACAGTGATATCAAAAGGATAACGAAAATGGCCTGTATTCTATTCTAGTATCCACACGATCACTTCTAGAATCCTTGTCATTACAAGTGATAAGATTATCAGACATAAATAGTTATAGAGTTATTATGTAAATTGCTTGCATTATTGTTTTTGGTTATCACTCATATTTACTCCTAAACATGGCATACTGAAAAGCTGGTTGTAACAGCATACCCAAAGAATGGAACTTTTGAACTAAATATTGTTGTCCCAAACCGTATGTTGAATGACAACCCACCATGTATGACCACATCTGAGTTCGAATAAAACTCGTGCAATGCCATATTACAACAACAACAACAACATCTCCTTGAACATGCATATACTGAAGGCAGACTTACCAGCAGTGAAAAGCAGCGAGGAAATTGTGACGGGAAAAAATCTGAAGACATACCTTGGAGTGAGGTTTGATCGCAGCATATCCTTCAAAGAAAATGTTGACCATGTCATAACAAAAGCACGCAAAGGCCTGTCAGTAATGAGGGTCCTGGCCGCCGCTAACACTGAACAGAGACTGCTTCTGCTTCTGTTCCAGGTACTTGCCATCCTCACCGTCAGCCATACTCAGACTTAAAGGCTTGAGAAGGTGCAAAATGATGTAATGCGCATTATTCTAGGGTGCACTGGAGACACCTCTTGTGTAGCAATGAGGTACCTTCTTGACTTCCCTACCATGAACTACAGGATTAGGATCTGGAGGGCTCGTGCATACCTCAAGAAAAGCTCAGATCTGAAGCACCCTTTGCACCACATGCTCTTCAAGAAAAAGGGCAATAGGCTTAAAAGGGGCAAATCATGGCTGGGTAGGGCAGAGGATGACATCATTCAGGTTTGCAGCCTTACAGACATCCATCCAGGTGAGGAGTGGATGCCAGCGTCTAAAGCGCCCAATCTCACATTCTCCTGTGTCGTGACGCTTGATAGGAATTGTCGGGAGTAGAATCCAGCCGCTGTCAGTGCCGAGGTATGCGCGCTTATCAGAGACAAGTCAGATGAGACAGATGTGGTGATCTTCACAGACAGGTCCGTTATATGAGAACATAAGAGTGCATGCGCATTTACAGCTCGCTCTTAATGCAGAATAGTTCAGGAAGCCAACGGTGCCTTTTCCATGACCACTAGCAGAATGACGATGGAGGTGATGGCGGTTACACAGGCTTTCATGTGGCTGGGATCACAGGACTATTCCTGCGTGTGTGTGCTGAGTAATTCTTTGAGCATGATCCGGCGGGTCGAAGCAGGCTGGTTGCGCAGTCAGTGGTTTGAGTCGTTGCAAAATTCTCCTGTGTGTGCAGTTACTTTCATATTCGTCCCAGGGTATGCAGGCGTTGTTCGTAATGAGAGAGCTGATAGACTGGCAGGTGCTGCATTAATTGAAGATGGCCGGCCCATTGATCACGCAGACATTATCATTGCCCTTAGACAGATAGGAAGTTCTGAGCATTTTGGAAGCAACTTATCCATATCACTGCTAAGAATACACGAATTGGGAGTAAAGATCGGCACAGCCAAGCATGAGATGCACACCGGACGTCCCAAATATACATCTCATATTTTCCGAGATTTCTAAATGATAAACAGATCCTTTGTGTGTATGGGAATCACACTAGACTTCTGCGCTCGCTTTACGGCTTTCAGTGAGCTTGTGGGGTACACACGAGACGAAACAATTCAATAGCTCTTGCAGGTTATTTCAGAATGGCATGACTTACACAGGAGTTGAGAGTGTGAAAAATGCAAACGCTGGGTGACAGGAGTTGAGAGTGTGAAAAATGCAAATATATATATATATATATATATATATATATATATATATATATATATATATATATATATATATATATATATATATATATATATATCTTCTCCGGCACTTGAAGCTTTGCAGATTCACTGTTGGAGATATCACCCATCCCAATTCGTCTGACTGACTGGGCCTCTTTTTCCAACTGGTGACTCCAAGCGTTTTTAGACTAACATGTACATTGTCCCTCTGTCGGGGTCTTGGTCTGCCTCGTGGTCTCTTCGTATTCAACTCTTTCGTGCACGCAGTATTTGTTTCTCTTATATGCGCTCTTATGCCCGCCTATTGCAGTCTGTGGCAGTTAAAACAATTTAATGGTGATTTAAACAGATTTTGAATTTCATTTTTGCTTTTTTGCTTTTCATTTTCTTGTGAAATAATTTATACAAACAAAACTGTTGTCATGGGTTTGTAATAAGGCTTGGATGTTAATTAGAAAACATTAAATATTTAAAAAACAAAACAAATTAAGAAATCCATTTGAAGAAAAACCATTATGTTCAGTATTATATAATGAGAAACAATTTCCCACGTATTACACTGTAATCCCAGACATCAACTAAATAACTAGAAATTAGAATACCCACT